GTGGTGCCATCTATGGGTTGTGTCCGAGCCGGAGAATGAAGAAGAACCTTGCCCGGGACGACTAGCGAACCCCGCCGCCGGATCTCATATCGGGAATAGCAGACCCCAAACCCCTTGCGCCGCCATTCCCAAATTTTTGGAACCGGTCGTACTTAATATCACCATTTCAAGAATAACTCCGTTGTCCCAGACCAGACCATACGTGGATAGTTATAAAAATACAAAGAAATCAGACCAGATCAAACCAGACCAACAAATTATAGTCCAAGTAAAAACATCCTTAGAGTATCTACAATGCTACACTGTGCAAGGTGAAAATGTAACATGACACGTAGCCACATAAATATTAGCAAATAAATTATTTCTTTCCTTATTTGAATGATTTTATACAACTTTTGCAAATATGACAGTATTGAAGATGCTCTTATAAATATAATTTCTGCCCTTAACTTCTTCCCCCCCCCCCATTTCATAACACTAATCCTATTTTCTATCCAGATATGCTAGTTTTACAATTTTTACTATTTCTAATATACTATTCTTTAGATTTAAGTTTTAAAAGAGTTGAGGAAATCACATGAAAAAATCTTTCCTAAAGTGTTTACGCCAATGTACATGGTTGTTCGTGTTGTGCACAAACATTTTTTTTTCAATTTATAAGGTGAATCACCTATGTCACAGACAAATTGACATATAATTCACTTTGAAAGACGGGAAACAATAACATTGTGTACATACAAAAACAAAATGGGGCATGTAATGGAGTTTTGACCTGAATGTTACAAAGAAGTGGACAATGGGAGTTTTGACCTGAATGTTACAAAGAAGTGGACAATGGACAAAAGGTGACATTTTTCTTGAATTTTCAGAAAATGTGACTAATAAGTAGTAAACTTACTAGTTTACCTCAGTGACATGACATACTACGGTCAGGGGTGTATTTACTATTGGGGCAGGAAGGCAGCTGCCCATACTCAACCCCACCCAACCTCATTGTATACATTAAATTTTATACATATATCATTATCATATTTATAGTATCATAATCTTTAAAATCCTAAGTTTACTAGAAGAGTGTCGTAGCCCACCGGCAAAAGTAGTGCATGTCCATGACTACGTATATGGTACATCCGGCTGTACGGTGAGCACTGTACAGTCGGCCCAGTAATAGGCCCAAGGGAAAAATAGCAAAATAATTCGGTGACATTTTTGTAATTAATGTGAAAATCACGCTTTCTGTTAAATGAGCATTTGCGTACTGTTAATGAGCAATATTTTAATTTTAATGAGTATTAAGTGTCTAATAATGAGCACCGTGTTATTACAAGAAATCAGATATCACAACTAAAAAACGGTGGCATTTTCGTAATTTTATTGAAAATCTCGGTTTTCGTTAGATGAGCATTAACACACTCTTAATGAGCATCAGACGTATTCTACCGAGCATTAAAAGTCGAATAATGAGTATTGTGATATCAACTTCATATATTGTAATTCACTTTCTTTTAAAATGCAATGGTATTCATATTAAAACGCTATGACAGGTTTACTGAGCATGAATTATATTCTATTGAGCATTAGAAGTCTAACAATGAGTATCACGATCTTTGCTTCATATTTTATAATTTAATTTCTTTTTCTTATTTTTTCTTTTATAAAAAATTATTAAATTATATCTATAATCATTTTCTATGAACTTCAATATGCGAATCTAATGTAATTTTGTACTTTTGGAATATGCATTGATATGACTTTTTTAAAAGGTGCATAACATGAGTACCCATTGAGCACACGCAACTTACAAAATGAGCATTAAAAGTGTATTAAAAGATATGGTACTTTTGAAATGAGCATAACATTAGTACTAAATGAGCGTATATAACTTACCAAATGAACAATGATATAAAAATCACAAACTTTGTTAGTTGAGCATACATCAAGACATTTTCATTGAACATCAAACCTCCTCTATTGAGTATCAAAAGAATACAATTGAGTATCATGATCTTTGCTCCCACGTATATAATCTAACTCTAATGCGAATCTAATATGATACTTCTAAAATATGCATTAATGTGACATTTTGAAATGAGCATAAAATCACTACCAAATTAAATGAACATACATAAGTTACAAAATGAGCATAAAAAAATTCAAAAGCTCGCTTGAATTCTCTAATGTGTTCAAGTGTTCATTTGTGCACATATAATGACAACTATAGTAATGACAAATATAATAATTTATATTAAAAATAATTGATAATCTTTAGTTCGCGAATTACATATATAATCGAATTCATTTTATAATGTTTGCTCATGCATATTTATTTTACAGTACACACATTTTATTATAACACAAAACTCATGTTAGTAATTAATACACAACATTTAATAAACTAATAAATATTCATCTTAAATTAAAAATAGAAAAATGAAACATTAATACCTAAAATATTTTATAAACATAAATTAAAGAAACTAAAGTTAGAAGTTTGATTGGATAAAAAATAAACTGGAACATTAATAATATTTTGTATAATTTTTTATATTATAAATGTTTATATTAATTGAATATAAAATTAATGTAAAAGGTTGCTAAAGATTAAAACAAAAAGAAAGGAGAACAAATAATAAAGAAAAGAAAGGAAAAAAAACTAAAATAAAAAAACAAAAATAAAAAAGAGAACAAACGATGGAAAAGATTTAATTTTTTTATTGCAGCTAATAAGTGATATGCAATTTCATTAACATCTTTTCAAAGTTAATATTAAAAAATATTTATTTGTAACTGAAATCACTTATAATTGCATATTTCATCCATTTTTTTTGTATATTTTTGATTTTGTATTTAATAGAGTATAGAATGTCTAAACCTAAGATCGAAATTAGTTTAAAATAATTTATTTTAATGTAACTAATAAATGGTATGTAATTTCAATCGCATCTCACTTAATATTAAAACACACTTGTCTATTTGTAACTTAAATTTGTTATAAACTTATCATTACATAATTTATCAGTTTCTTATAAAAAATAGTCTTTATTTTTAATAAACTATCAATTTTTTAACTAATATTTATTTCCTAAAATTTTTGTGATAATTTTAGTGTAAACTTGCCACCATTGAACAAATTTTCTGGATACGGCACTGACTACAGTGACACAGACCCAGTGACATCCATCACCACCACCTCCCGACCGTTGACCGCCGTCGATCGAAGACCGCCGCCAACCACAGTTACACCGACCACAGTGACACCGGTCATAGTGATACAATGTCTAGGCTTCAGTGACACCGCGATAGTAACCCCAACCACACCTCACCCACTGACCTCCGCTTCTTCCAATTATTGCAGCCACCGTCGTTCGACCACAATGGCCTCCGCCCCCCACCCTTTCGGCAACTTCTGCCGCACCCCGACTCTCCCTATCCCCCACCAACCCAACCTCTATCCAGCCCCTCCACCTGCCCCAACCAGACAACCACTAGCAGCAACAGTGAAGTAGTTGCACCCAACAGCGACCCCCCATGCCCCGCCACACAATCGCCGCCCTGACCAGCCCTGAACAATCCGTCGTCGACCCCCAATCTGAACTCTAGATGTCGCCGCACCCCATTTTGAAACCCTAGATGCCGCTGCACCTTCTTTCCCGCCTATAGAAACCATAGTGTAGTCGACACCCCCTAGATCTGTGAACTCTAGCTAGTTTCCATGAAATGGTCCACCGATGTCATCTCGCTATCGCCACCACCGCTTGCCACGTATCCAACAAACCTTCTTTGCCGTCTACCAGAACCGTCATTCGCCTCTCGCTATCACAAATCAGACGAAATCAACAATTGATTGCCACAAAGAAGAAATGAGAAGAAGAGTAAAACGAAGCATATATGAGGCACCTGGATGACGACAATGGCAATGGTGGCCTTGACTTGACGGTGAGGATGACGACGAATAAAAGGGAAATCAAAGAAATGAGGGGGCGATGCTAATAATAGTGAGAGGTGGCGGTGGCGAACTGACGACAAGGGAGGTGACATCGACGACAGAGGAGATGGCGGCAAAGACAATGGTGAGAGGCGATGGTGGCATGGCATGGTGGAGGCGGAAGGTCGGAGGTCACAAGGGTATTTGCAACGGAAGAATCGATCGAGAACAGTGTGGACCTTTTCTTGCCCTAAAACCAGGGTTTTGTAAGTAAGACTATTTTAGTCTTATTTTTGTGGATGCAAAGCCCTACATTCTAAATTTCTAATCATTCTTTCACATGTAAATTGTGTGTTCATCTTTAATATATACACAAACCCTCTTTGAAATTGTCCACGGTAGAAATTGTCTTAGGTTGGACTAAAGTTTCCCCAAAAAGCACAAACATGAATTACATGATTACTACTTTTTAAATTCCCCACAATAGGAATAAACATTGATTTCTTGATTTTTACCCTAAATGCTCCTAAGGGCATTAATTAATATTGAAACATTTCAATTCATAATAAAGTCGTAAAAAATCGAAAAATATTAATTTTTATTAAAGTAATAAAAATAATAAAATTCAAAAAAATATGGATACCTTTCCCACCGCCTCCCAGCACCACCAACTCAGATCAGTGAAATTTATGTCATTTTGTGTAAAAAATGCCGTTTTTTCTAAAAATATCAAGAAAATGACATTATTATTCTTCATAATGCCAAAATTTTCATTGAATCTGCCTTTATTAAAAATGTTGGCAGATTTCCTTTGGTGATGAGAAATGGTGGTGCTGAGGGTGGCAGAGGTGGAGTTGTTTTTTCTTTATGTTTTTTTAATATTTATTTATTTATTTTTAAAATTTTTTTTATAAATATTTTATTATTATTTTATTATCTTTATTTTATTAATGTTTTTGTCTATTAATTTTTTACGAATTTTTTATTAAATAAAACATTTCAAAAGCTATGTGAAAACACACATAAAAATAGTCATATCGGAGAGATTTAAAACACATAGCCCTATTTGTGTGCCCTTTGGCCATTTTTTGTAAGGAGTAATACCAAACTCTCTCTTTTCAGTTTTGACATACAACACTTGAAAGTGGAAACTACGGTTCACACCTCACATTTCTTGAGGTAGAAAAACCATTTCTTCTACATTTTCTTAGACAAATTGATAGTGCCATTTCGCAGAGGTAATGAATGTCTAAGCTCCTGTGCAATAAAATTTTCGTTGTGAGCAAGAGCATGATTTGGACGGTTTTATTGGTTGTGGTTCTTTCGATTTTGTTCTGGTGGATTTTAGACAAGAAGCTCTGTTGCTCGTGTCTTTCTTTGCACTCTTCTATCAGTGAATTTAATAATTTGGTTAGTTTGAATGAATTGGTGTCTTACTAGGGAGATCAAAGGCTTGGAAACGGCTGAAGATTTGAGAGATGGCGAACGGTGCAGTGGATTGTGCTGAGAGGGCGACGAGTGACATGCTGATCGGCCCTGACTGGGCAATTAACATTGAGCTTTGTGATATTATAAACTCGAACCCTGGGTATTCTTCATTTTTTCTGCTCTATCGTGTGTTTTAGTTTGTAAATGAATTCAGAATTAATATTTCAACTTCAAGCAGTTCAAAATGCAAGTTTTCATAAACTTAACCTTGGTAGCACCATATTTGCTTCTGAAGATGCATGTTCATCCATTCATCCATACCTTAAAACCTAGAAGCCACATCATAACTTCTTTCAAGTATCTCTCTTGGGCTAAACTTTATGAATATATGAATAAACTACTAATACACCGAAATTTCACTTTCACGATATTAGAGTCCATGAGAAGTTCTTTACCAATTCTTATGAGTTAAGATTCATTATTATATTCTCAACTTTGGCTAACATAGCGTGGTTGTGATTTTCCTATGTATGAGCCCGTTAGGACTCACATTCGTCTAGATAAACCCCATCAAAGATTAAGCCTTCATACGTACAAGATCAAGTATATTTCTGTCCTCAATTCTTGTATGGCTGTCCTTTTTATTCAACATTAGTTGCAAGTATAAAGTGAATTTAATATACTTCTATGCTCTACACCATAGTCATAAACAATCAAAATATAGATGATAAGTTATAATATATTGGTTTAGGGTTTATATCGAACACCTAACATGCACCTAGCTTTCATCAAACATCTTGAATCCTGATGAAAGATTTAGCCTCTAATGCCCACACTGATCAAAATACAATACAACAACAACATTACCCCAGTGCCGCAAAGGCTCTCACCTACAGTTGGGTAAGGGGGTCAGATGTACGCAATTTTACCCGTGTACTAAAGCACAAAAAGACTGTTTTCGGATGACCCATGATGATAATCACATCGAAAATAACATCGACTGACTGGTGCTTCATAACAGAGAAAAGCAGACAGTTTAGTGACCATTTTGCTTTATTCCATCATATTCCCAAGCCAAAAATGTCGAGTCTTTGGCTCCATTACAAAAATGATAATACCCAATCTTCAATGGTTACAATATATGATCCTTTATCTTCTTATAATAAAAACAACATCACCCTAATGCCGCAAAGGCTTTCACTTATGGCGGGTTAAGGGAAAGTCGGATGTACACAACCTTACTCTTGTACTAAAGCACATAGAAACTGTTTTTGGATGACCCATGATGAGATCCTCAGCTTCATATGAATTAAAATGGCAAACTAAGTATGGTTAAGAAATGTTGTAATAAAATGAATGATGGATTAAATGATGTTTTTCATGTAAATTTTGATTTCCTTTAGTCTATACATGATCTTTAATAAACAACAACAATAACATCCAAACCTTACTCCAAAAGAGTTTGGGGTCGTGAAATTTTATATCAAAGTTAAAAAAATTAGATAGAAAGAGAGAGAGAGAAACCATATAAGATCCATCCTTCATACCTATGCCCTTCCTAACACTTCATCCTCTCCAACATAGTTAAAAAAATTAGATAGAAAGAGAGAGAGAAACCATATAAGATCCATCCTCCATACCTATGCCCTCCCAACACTTCATCCTCTCCAACGTTCTCATCTAGCCCAAGTAGTATCATATCATTCTTGATTACTTTACTCCATGCTTATCTAGTTCATCCAATTTTCTCCTCCCTCTTCTCCCGCTTCTCATTCTGTCGTAAAAGTGCATCACTCAGTCATTCACACATGACCAAGCCAGCCCAACCAATACGTTTGCATCTTATCTTCAATAGGTGTTACTCACATTTTCACCTGATTGTCTCATTTCTAATCAAATTTGCGTAAGCGCATCAATTATTTTTTGTTGTTATTGACCAACCCGGCACCACAGACCCACCTTGCCGCAAAATAGCTTACTGTTTTTATAACTAATTGGCACCTTTATGCGTAGGATACCAAGCACTGGTTTCGGGCAGAATGTCTGGGGCACCAGTTTGGCCAAACCCGGTGCTGTGTTCCGTTCGTTCAATATTTGTCTTCTAAGATTTTTACCTTCAAATTGCATCCTTTTATAAAACGTGATATTTGTGCGATTCTTCTTGAAGTTCTTATAATTACTTATAAAAATGGGCAGCCCGATGCACATTGGCGTCCCCGCAAGGTGAGGGTCCGGGGAAGGTTCCCACCACAAGGTTGTATAAGGCCATAAGGGGTAAGTCTTCCCTTGTCATTTTTGACAAGCGGCCACTCCCAAGACTTGAACACGTTACCTATCGGTCACACAACAACACCGTAACCGCTGCGCCAAGGTTCCCCATTGAGTTCTTATAATTACTTATCATCATCATCATCATCATCATTACCCCAGTGCCGCAAAGGCTCCTACATATGGTGGGGCAAGGGCCCCCATATGTACGCAACCTTACCCTTGTACTAAAGCACAAATAGACTGTTTCCGGATGACCCATAGCGAAAATGGCGTCGAAAATTGCACTCTCTAATACTCTGTTGTTTTCCTCCTACATGTGTTTACTATAATCATTTTATCCACTAACCCAAACTCAATTAATTTCTTTTGTGGAATGGGTTGTGAGGTACATTCCCTTCATAAATAATTTTATTCTTCTTTCTCTTTGTTTAAATGACAGTTCTCTTTGGTCATTGAGAACTAGAAGAATTTTCTTGCAGGGGCACAATTGCTCAATAAACCCGGGGTCATTTCAGATCCCTTTCTGCTTCGAGAACAGTATTTGTTTGTGATTGCATGTTATTTTCCCTATCACATTGCGTTGCATGATGGCAAAATTCGGTGCATGTTGGTAAATGCACATTAAGGGCCTAAGAGGTGTAAATTTTCATTTGGATTTCTAGAATGTTTTGCTTTTATAGTTTCAGCTTTATAGACAATTCCCATATTTCCTGAATATCCTAAAAGTGTGCGCATATGAAAATTATACAGGGTTACTGCCCTCATAGTACAACAACCTAGTTTTACTCCCAAATCATTGGGTCAACATCTTTAACCAATCAGAATATAACTTGAGGTCACCCACTAACCCTGATCCACCACTATATTAATTTCAATTCGTTTCTATAATGGATTATATGCTCATGAATTCCAAATGCCGTAATGTCTCTTTTACACCCCCAAACTATGTCATCTTAGGTCTACCATTACTCATTTTGATTTCCCCTCTTTACTGGTATAGTCATTTTTTCTTTCTTGCTAATCCATGGAAATCATATGTTCTTCCTTCTACACCCGCTCTCTCAAGTTCCTCCTATTGGTGACCTCATTTGAGCTAATTTCTTTTTGCACTTTGACCTTCAATGCTTCTGTAATCCATTACCATCCAAGGCCTTCAATTTATCCCAATTGCAATCTTCTAGCCTTCAATTTATCCAAGAAGCAGTCACTTTCTGTAAAAACAAACTCCATGTTGAGCTTGGGATGCCATATCATCTATTTTATCCTAAGAAGCTAATTATATCCAATTGCTCTTCCACTGCTTTAATGATTAAGGTCTGCTGCCACAGAAGGAGAGCTCTCTCCTCCCTTTAGAGCCATATAGCAGGACAGTCTGCTTCATCATCAGTCTCTTGGCCTTTTCCATTTTGTCATCATCCGAGATAAACTCTTTATCCTTGTGAATGTCGGGGTTTTAACCCTATGCTTAATTTTATTCAGCATATCCTTATAATTTAGTCTCCATCCCATAACCCTGATAACCAGAGACTCATTGAAACTTAAACCCTACTTACTGACATGGTGGTGAACTATGTTTCCACCACCATG